AGGTTTAACCGTGGTGGAGCCCACGCGAGGAGCCCGAGTTTAAGCGCTGCTGGCGCCGAGGCCTAGGAGTCGGACACTCACTGTGCAGTTTCCCCCTTGGACCTCTGTTCTTCACCCAGCATGCAAGTCCATCCCTCAAGATTAATGCCCCGTGTGAAATTCCGTGGCAGCTAAAATTGGTTTGTCTATTTGCCAACCTCTTCTAAATGTGAAATAAAATTGTGCGTGTGTGGAAAATCCCCCTGCTCCGACGAGCACTGTGATTCCGCCTTGCTGAGAAATCTCTCCAAGTGTCCTTAGGGGGATTTTAAACTTGAGTTGGCTTCTATGCAGCTTTTATGAGAGCAAAGCGTTTGAGTGGCTCTCCCTTCCCAATGGGCACGTCTGTGGTTCCTGACACAGAGCCTGTACTCTTAGAGCTGACTGTGGACGTGACTGTGGGTGGCCCAGGGAGAAGCTCCGAGACGGAGACTGGGCTTCAGGCTTGGGTGCCTTCCGTGGCCGGTCATGCGGGACGCTGTGGCTTTTCTCATTCTGTGACCTTGGTGACCTTGTGTCTCCACCTCTCCCCTGGGGCCCCAAATCCTGTGCTTATTCACTCCTGGTGGGGGGCCTGTGGTCTGCAATGCTCCAGGGAAGGGCTCTCCCAAGTGGGGAGTGGAGGTGAGGCTGGCCCACTCCATGCCTCGCCAGGCACGCGGGCTCAGCCCCTTCCAGGCAAGGTGCTCCCCAGGGCAGCCGTGTCTTCCTGTCACCCATGTGGCCAGTGGGACACCTGTGGGGCTGACCTTGGCCCCGCAGACCTCCGTCCTGGCCTGTCTCTGAGAGCCCTTCCCTGACAGTGCACATGGGAGTCCCGCGAGATCCCACAGTGGCTCGCCCCGTATACGCCAGAGACCTCTGAGGCCGGGTGGGAGGCCAGGGGCCTCTGGAGCTGGCCACACACCCTGACGTCCTGGGCTTCCAGCCTCTAGCCCCCCTCAGGCAGCTGCCCTGCCTGCCCAGCCACTCTCCCCGGTCATGGGCACAGTGGAGTGGGCAGGCGAAAGCCCCTGCCTTACCAAGCCCTTAGTGTCTATCGTCGCCATGGAAACTTCCTCCAACTTTCACAGTGTAAGAGGTTCCCTGCCCCCGCCCAACACGCATGACTTGTGTGATCTGAGTCTGAATCCCTGTGTGACCTGAGACAAATGAGCCTGTTGGGGCTCAGTCTGCACTTCCCTGGGTGTTGGCGGAGACTCAGTGGGCTAACCGATGCGGTTAGGGGCCCCTCGTTCCCGCACTGCCCTCGCACGTGGCAGTGCTGGCAGGCCATCGGAATGAATGAAGGAATGCGGCGTAGGGGCACGTCTGTCCCCCAGGCACCACTACCTCTCTCATGCAGAAATAACTCACCTCCACAGAAACATTCAGAACGCAGCATGTCAAGGGCTGGGCTGGGCTGACACGGGCGCTGCGTCTTGCCTGTTGGATGCAGGGGGACTCCGCGTCAAGGGCTGGGCTGGGCTGACATGGGTGCTACGTCTTGCCTGTTGGATGCAGGGGGACCCGGCTCTTACGGCGAGTCCTGAGCTAGAAGCAGAGGCTGCCAGCACCCAGGGTGGCTGTCCAGGGAACGTAGGTTCTCTGTATCTCGCCGTCTGGAATTTCCTTCTTAACAAGCGGTAAGTAAAGTCCGTGAGTCAAGGGGGCCTGTGACCCTGACCTTGGGCCACATGCTCCCCCACAGGACACACCATGCCTGGGGAGTGCCATGGTCCTCTGCAGGACCATGTGTCCTGGCCATCCCCCGCCCCCCGACCCCCCCCCCCGGCTGCTGAACGGTAAGGGGTTCCAGTGGCAGAGGCCCGGGACACTAGGGCTGGCCTCACTGTGGTTGGGGACAGCGACCACTGGACATTCTGTGCTGGGGTCTTCCCTGCTCCCATCAGCCTCCTTGTCTGGCTCGCCCACAGAAACGTGGCCACGTGCCAGGGCTCCAGCATCAGCATTCCGTGAGAGCCACCTGAAGGCATACTTAGAGTGTGTGTCACTGGTCTTTACTGTTGCTAGCAAGCTCTTCTCTTTGGCCCTGTGTGTGCGTGGGGTGGCAGCAGACACACAGGGAAGGCCCCCTGATGGATGCGGACAAGCACAGCTGGTGGCAGCCGACACGCAGGACCTGCAGAGACCGCCCACCCTGTCTCCTGTTCTCTCCTCGCATGCCCCCAAGTGCCGGCCGTGCCCCGGCAGTCGGCCTTCTCGGGGCGTCCTGACACATGCAGCCTCTTGCTCAGGGCCAGCCCTGTTGTCCGGTCCCTGGCAGCTCTCCACTGCGTGCTGCTGTAGTCTGCGGTATTGGCGGAGGGAGCTATCGGTCATCCCAGTGCGGGAATGCGGGAGAACGTGGCGGATGCCTGGGCTGCTGACTTCAGCCTGCTCCAGCCCTGCGTGTCTCAGGCTTCCGGGGAGTAAGCCCGCTGATGGGGAGCTCTGCCTGCCTGCCTGCCTGCCTCTCAAAAAAAGTCAGGAAAAATGTTACATGTTTAAAAGAGGCGCTGAGACCGCGGGGGCTCGGCTTCTTTCTGCCATTTAAGACGTTTAGTCTGACGGCACCTGCAGGTGTTTCCTGGATGACTGTGAAACATGACTTCCTTCTGTAGGCATTTTAACAATATTCATCTTGAACGGGCGTGGAGCTTTTTTGGTTGGTTGGTTGGTTTTTTGAGAAGATGTATTATTTACTTGAAAGGCCGAGTTAGAGGGGGAGGCCAGGGCTCACAGCGACAGGCACCCAGACCCTGCCGTGGCCCCAGGTGACGTGGCGCGGGGCTGGGCAAGGGCAGCCACTGGCACCCCGGGAATTGCATTTTGAGTGGTCTTTCTGCATCTGCTGAATTGATCCTTTTTAACCTGACAGTCACAGTGAAATACACCACTAGGCTTTGGGGCTGTAGCTTCTCCGTGGATCCCCGCAGTTAGGGGCCAACCTAGTTGACCTCAGGCACCCCTTGCTGGCACTGCTGGGCTCAGTTGGTGTGTTTGAAGGTCTTTGCTCCCCGGCTCATGCGGAGATGAGCCTGCGGCTAACTGGCCACCTGGCGCTTGCTCCGGAGACGCCCGGGAATGTGTCGGAAGGGACGCTGTCTCCCTCACGCCTGAGAAGTGTAGTCGCCAAAACCATGTGGGCCGTGAGTCACCGAGGCGAAAGCTGACTGAACAAAAATGAAGCTCTTCAAAACCAAAGACTGTCCTGATTTCAAAATGACACCCTGCTGAGGTTCTGAACAAGGCAGAGATACAGAGGAGACACAGAGAAAGATCTTACATCCGCTGGTTCACTCCCAAGTGGCTGCAATGGCCGGGGCTGAGCTCCCACGCCAGGAGCCTGGGGTTTCCTCCAGGCCTCCCACGCGGGCGCAGGGTCCCAAGGCCTGGGCCATCATCCTGTGCCTTCCCAGGCCACAAGCGGGGAGCTGGATGGGAAGCAGAGCAGCTGGGACATGAGCAGGTGCCTGAACGGATACTTGCACGTGCAAGGCAAGGGTTTAGCCACTAGGCGCTTGCACTGGGCCCTGAACACCTTCTCTAAGATTTCTTCCCCACATTGTTGCAGTGCCAAATGGACACACACCATCCCTCACGTTGTTGGGCCGGCCCCTGCCGGAACTCGTTTTTGTTTTCAGATACTTCGATGTCAGGAGTTCTCCAGGGACACACATGTAAGTACCTTACAGGAGTGTATCGGAAGTTCACAGAAAAGGGCATTAAGTTTATTTCGGGGCAAAAATGCTTGACTCCACGTGACAGCCAACAGAAAATGGCAGCAGGACCGGGTCTTCTGGGACACGTGCACAACCTTGGGTTCTTGGAAACTACAGAGAAGTGAGCGTTTTTCTCATCCCAGGATGAGCTCCTGGTTTTCTCTGCTCAGGCAGTAAGCTGACCGACCCAATTGTTTTCTTTAACAGACCTCGAAGGTCCTGCTTGCCTGGTTCTGTTCGTACTAGGTGGGATGCAACTCTCACTGGATAAAGCACAAGGTGTTTCAACTGGGTGCGTGTCCCACGCCACTGCAGTTGATCGCTTGTACTGTGCACTGATTAAGCTTGGTTGATCAGCTGCTCCCCTCTTCCACGCACGGTGGAAAGGGACAGTCCACGGGTCGGCCAGTTGGTGACTGAAGCTCCTGAGCTCCTCAGAGTCAGCCTCCGGCCCATCTCTAGGTGCATCTGGTCAACTCGCAACACTCCACACATACACAGGCAGTTCCCAGGAAGGGCGATTAAAAACACACAGGCAACTCCCAGTTCCGCCTCTTCACACACTGCGGGCGCCCTCGCGCGGGCGGAGCGGCGGGCTGGTGCTCCATGTCCCCCACGCGGCCGTCAGGTGGCGGCCGGGAGCGCGCGGGGCCCAGGACGGGCGCCTGGGGGGCCTGCCGGGCCCAAGGCCTGCGCCCCCGCCGCCGAGGGAGGGTCCCGGGCGCAGGCCGCGCGCACCTGCCGCTGTGCGGACCCAGGCTGCACCTGTCACGGCCACCCGGCCGCCCAGGGCCTCCCGCGCCCCGCGCCCGGCAGGCCGAGGGCCAGCGCAGCCAGATGGGCACTGAGCAGGGCGCCCGCGCCCGGAGCCTCGGGTCCGGCAGGCCTTGGGCCACCGCAGCCAGGTAGGCACTGAGCAGGCCTCCCGCGCCCCGCGCCCGGCAGGCCGAGGGCCACCGCAGCCAGGTGGGCACTGAGCAGGCCGCCTGCGCCTGGAGCCTCGGGTCCGGCAGACCGGCGTGCGCGGGGCCTCGGGCTGCGCTGCGCGTGCGCCCCAGCGCGTCAGTGGACGGGGCGTGGTGAGTGCCGGCCGTGCCCACGGACGCTGCCCTCCCTATTGGCGCCGGGCTGGCGTGCGCCTTGCGTCAGCGCCTTGCGTCAGCAGTGCGCGCGGGGCGGCAGTGGCGGCCAGGTGAGCGGCCGCGCGTCCAGTGGGGACGGGGTGTTCCGGCGCGTTCTGTCCTGGCCCACGCGGGCGCGGTCACCGTCCGTCCCCGAGCTCGCGGACCCGCGTGCTGTTTGGGGCGCTTCCGCTTCCCGCGCCCGGAGGCCCCGGTGGGGTCCCACCTGTTACTCCATCTCCGCCGGCTCGCCTTTCCCTCCCTGGGGGACCAGGGGAGGGCAGGGAAGGGGCCCGCAGCGGCCGACTGGCAGCAGGTGCAAAGGCGCGCGGGCGCCCGGGCCTTGCCCTGCCCGCGGCTGCGAGCGGCTGGTGAGCCCGGCTGCAGGTGCGTCTCCCGGGTGCTGACGGCGCGCCCCCCGTGCCTGGCAGGGACGCGCTCGGCTGGACTCCCCAGATGCTGAGGTTCCTGCGGCCCTGGCCCCGGAGCGCGCTGAGCTGCACCTGGAGCCTCCTGCGCCTTCCCCGGCGCGGCCTGTTCACCATGAAGCTGCAGTCCTCGGAGTTCCAGGCGCTGTTCACGGACGGGCTGAAGAGCCTCACGGGTGAGTCGACCCCCGGGGGAGTCGCTGGAGCGGGAGGGGCGGAGGTCAGCACCTTCGGGTGGCGCCCCGCGTCCTCGTCCTGGCTGCTGGGGAGGGGCAGCCGCCGGCTGTGGCAGGGTGGGCCTGGCCCTGCCCGCCCCGTGCCTGGGGTGCTGGACACGGGATCTGACCTCCCCGTTGGTGACCGTTGCGTGCGCTCCTGTCTGTCGCTGAAGTTTCGCATTTAAGCCTGGGTTAAGTGGCTAGGTTCACTGTGCGTGACGCTGGCAGGGTTGTGGCAAGCTCAAGCGGGGAGGGAAGGAGGCAGGCTCTGGGTGCGGTACCGCACGGGTGCGTGCGCAAGGCGGGCTGCTGAGGGTCGCGGGTGGAAGGCGTGCTTCCTGACCTGCGTCGCAGCGCTCCTACGCTGGGCTGCATTTCCTGTGGGCACCGCTGCGTGCCTTACTGCCGGGTAATTAAGGGACCTTCTCAACGCCCTGAACCGGGAGGTGTTTGGAAGTGGTTTAATGAGAGCGAATCAGACAGTTAATAACCCACTCTACCTCCTGGCTCCTGTTCTGAAATGCTGTTAACTTGTTGCGTGACTTTGAAGCGTCTTTGAGTGAAGGGGGGGGTGGTTCAGAGCAGTGCTTCTCCGCGATGGCTCGCATGGTCATCTGGTCATCGTTTTTATTCTTTTTCAAAGTTTGTTATCTGAAAAGTGAAGTAGGGAGAGACAGTGAGGTCTCTCCAGCTGCTAGTTCGCCCTTGAAATGGCTGCATCTGCCATGGCTGGGCTCGGGCAAAGCCGGGATCCCAGAACGCCTTTCGGGTCTCCCATGTGCGTGTCGGCTGCTTCCCCAGGCACCTGAGCAAGGAGCTGGAGTGGGCCTGGAGTGGGCGTCCCGGTGGATGAGGTGTGGGCGATGGCCTGGCTTGCCATGCCGAAGCACCAGGTCCCCACCCCCTGCCCTCAGATCGGCTTCGCTTGCGTAAAGCTGCCCTCACTTCTGTGTTCCACAGTTTCTTGTCACATTCTTGAGGGATCTTGCAGCCCCTGGCTCGGGCAGCAGCTGTGTCCACTTCGTCCAGGCCGTGTCAGGGACCTGGAGCCGTCACGCTGACTCCCAGGGTCTGTGTTAGGAGAGGTGGAATTGGAAGTAACTTGGGTCTTTTTTTTGGTTTTTGGTTTTCTTTCCTTAGATGTAGTTTTTGCAAAGTCAGATATATGGAGAGGAAGATCTTCATCCAGTGATTCACTCCCCAAGTGACCACAGTGGCTAGAGCTGAGCCAGTCCAAAGCCAAGAGCCAGGAGCCTCTTCCTGGTCTCCCACGCAGGTGCAGGGTCCCAAGGCTTTTGGGCCATCCTCTACTGCTTTCCCAGGCCACAAGCAGGGAGCTGGATGCCAGGATTAGAATCAGTATGGATGTGGGATTCTGGCATGTTCAAGGTGAGCACTTTAGCTGCTAGGTTACTGCGCTGGGCCTGTAACTTGGGTCTTGAAGCAGTGACTTGGTGGCTACCTCAGCTGTGCCCCCATACGTAGTTAGAATAGCAAGGTGAGGGCCCGGGGTGATAGTACAGTGGTTAAGGTCCTCGCCTTGCACGTCCAGGATCCCATATGGGCGCCAGTTCTAATCCCGGCAGCCCCACTTCCCATCCAGCTCCCTGCCTGTGGCCTGGGAAAGCAGTCGAGGACGGCCCAAAGCTTTGGGACCCTGCACCTGCGTGGGAGACCCAGAAGTGGCTCCTGGCTCTTGGCTTCGGATCGGCTCAGCTCCAGAGGTTGCGGCCACTTGGGGAGTGAATCATCAGACGAAAGATTTTCCTCTCTGTATATCCGCCTTTCCAATAAAAAAATAATAATAAAATAAATCTTAAAAAAAAAAAAGAATAGCGAAGTGACATTCAGGTGAGCACTGCCATTGAACCCGAGCACCAGGCAGCACTCACTGGCCGAGTGGGCATGGAGAGGCCTCATTGGGCCAAGTGGGCACCACTGGCCTCAGTGGCGGCCCCAAGAATCTCCCCGTGCTCACCCTGGCAAGGGACATTGCTTGGAATCTGGTCTGGACGGTGGCATCAAGGAGGGTGCCAGGCAGTGAGCCAGCAGGGCCAGTGTGTGGTCAGAGGCAGCCGTGACAGCGGGGGGCGCAGCAGGTGGGTTGGTGTGCTGTGGTGGGCTTCAGGCCCTAATGTGCTGGCTGAGCGCACGTACGTCCCGTCACGGGGTGTGGGCCGGGGGGAGAGCTGGCAGGGCTTTGGGGAGTGGCCCTCTCTAGCAGTGGGCTGGGGGGCTCCGGGCAGAGCCATGGGCTGCGTGTGGTGAAGTGAAAAGAGAGATGCTCATGGCAAGATGTCTGCGCATTGGGTGTAACGGGGCGCTCGCTGCGTGAGCAGACTGAGGGGCGACGGCGGAGAGGGCTGGGGACAGCAGCTGGGACAGCGGGGGTCGCCTGGGCCATGCGTGCGTTCAGAACCCGGAATGGGCTGCGTGACTTTGCCATACTAGTTTAATTTTTAAATTTTGTTTAGTGTTCAAAGGCAGAGACAAAGGTTTCACCCATTGGTTGATTCCCCGAATGCCCCATCGCCAGAGCTGGGCCAGACTGCCCTGGGAGCCGGAAGCTCCACCTGGTGGCCTGTAGGCCCGTCCCCTCCCTGCCCCAGAGTGGGCACTCGCACAGGGTGGGGCAGTGGAGGAGTGGGACTTATTCCCGGGACCTGCAGTGTGGCGGTGGGCGAGCTGCGGGTCCCGTGTGCAAGGACTTGCAGGGGCGGGGTTGGGAGAACCCGTGGCTTCGTACTGTTAAGTTTTCCTCGTGTGTGCTGGCTTCATGTCTCTCACCACAACAAATTTTATTTCCACCTCCATGATTGACGGTTTGAGGGGTCTATGGGGTTGAGTGGGACCCGGCATCGAGGACACGGAGGCTGTGTGGGGAGAGCCAGCTTCCTGAGGGCGGAGGGAGAGGAGGCACCCATCCTTTCAGAAGACCCAGGGAATGGGGCTGGACAAGGAGGCAGCAGGTGTGCGGGGTGAGAGCAGAGGCTGGGTGGGTCGTGTGGAGCAGGGTCCTGGGACCAGGAGCGAAGCACGCCCAGCCTCAGCCCTCTGCTGGCCGGCCCCCGGGAGAGGTCTCACGTCCTGGCGCTGTCTTTGAGCCCCAGCACAGACGCCGCCGTTCAATGCTCTGATGCGTGTTCAGTTGTGCAGCGAGGTGTCTTGGTGTCACAGCACTGCCCACACAGCTTGGCACACAGGGTCACGCCTGCGTGCACCCCAACCCGGTTTACCCCTAGCCTTCACTGGTTGCATTTGTGGTGTTTGTCCACCCTCTCTTCCCAGGAGCCTTGAGAGCCTCTAGGTGTTCTGGAGCTGGGCCTGCTGCCATGTCTGGCTCGTCCTCTGAGAGGGTCCGCGTCTGGGGGACCCCTGCTAGTCAGCTCTTCCTGACTGTAGTGGTGCCCTCAGGCTCACGCTGGCGGAATGTCTGCTTAGGTGGCAGAGAGCTGTGCCTGGCAGTGGCAGGTAGCAGAGAGCTACACCCAGGAGCTGTGCCCATGAGCCCACCTGGGCCCTCCCCCCATGAACCTCCCAGCTCAGTCAGGTCAGGCCCTGCATTGATTAAATGCCTGTGTGACTTGCAGCCCCATCAGGCCACGGCAGGCATTGTGGAAGGGACTAATGGCCTGGGTGGCTGAGCTGATGCTGGGTGGGCTGGGTGTGGTTCCGTGGTGGCCTCTCAGCAGCCTGGTTCCAGTTTGATGCTGATGGGCAGATGGGAGCTGTCTCCCCTGGCCCCCACGTTCATGTGGTGTCGCTCGGGTGTGGCTTTAGGGCGGTGTGCCTGCTGTGTCCTGCACCCTGGGCTCAGGATGGCCATGCCTGCCAACCCCGTCCTGTGCCACTGTCTGTTCCGCAGAAGCTCAGGGTGGGTTGGTGCGTGGCAGGCTGGCTCCTGGGTGGCTTGGTTCCCACAGTGTGTGTGCCTCTGCTGGGGCACGCACTGGAATCAGTGGCTGCACATCAGCAACATGGCATACACAGTGATTTCCACCCCTAAGATTGATTGATTGATTGATTGATTGATTGGAAAGGCAAAGTTAGAGGGAAACACAAGCTCAGTCCCCGATGGCTGCACTGGCCAGAACCAGGAGCTGGGAGCGCCTTCTGGGTCTCCCGTCCGGGTGCAGGGAGGGGCCCTGGTGCTCGGGTCGTCTTCTGCTGCTGGAGGGAAGTGGAGCAGCCGGGACACGAACCGGCATCCCTGTGGGTGCAGATAGAGGATCAGCTCACTGGGCCATTGTGCTTCCAAGTCCCCTTCTGAGCTCCCAGGGGCTGGGGCTCTGGGTGACCTGTGCTGCGCGTGGTGACCTGGAGACAAACTGACACGAAGCCTTGTGCCTTGCAGAGCTGTTCCACCGCGAGAACCACGAGCTGCGGATCGCAGGAGGCGCCGTGCGGGACTTGCTGGCGGGGGTCAAGCCGCAGGACGTGGACTTTGCCACCACTGCCACGCCCGAGCAGATGAAGGAGATGTTCCAGGCAGCTGGCGTGCGCATGATCCACAACAAGGGGGAACAGCACGGAACCGTGACGGCCAGGGTGAGTGCACAGCCTGCTGCGAGACAGCCAGACGGCGCCTGGGCAGCACTCGGTCCCCTCTGCCCTGCTGGCAGCCCGTGTGCCCTCTCCAGCTTCCATGGTGCCCTGGGGGTCTGGTCTTCTGGCTGCCTCCTGCAAGGGAAAGCGAGGCTCGATCCACCAGGGGTCACGTGTCGTGACGGGGCTCTGTGTGCGGGACGCGCTGTGTTGGAGCTCCGTGGCAGCTACATCAGGGCGCGCTGTGTTGGAGCGCCGAGGCAGTTGGAACGCCGTGGCAGCTGCATGAGGGCACGCTGTGTTGCTGTGCCCTCATGCATCTGCATCAGGGCGCGCTGTGTTGGAGCGCCGTGGCAGCTGCATCAGGGCATGCTGTGTTGCTGTGCCGTGGCAGCTGCATGAGGGCAGGCTCGCTGTGTTGGAGCGCCGTGGCAGCTGCATCAGGGCGCGCTGTGTTGGAGCGCCGTGGCAGTTGGAACGCCGTGGCAGCTGCATGAGGGAGCGCTGTGTTGGAGCGCCGTGGCAGCTGCATCAGGGCACGCTGTGTTGGAGTGCCATGGCAGCTGCATGAGGGCAGGCTCGCTGTGTTGGAGTGCCATGGCAGCTGCATGAGGGCGCGCTGTGTTGGAGCGCCGTGGCAGTTGGAATGCCGTGGCAGCTGCAGCGCTCGCGTTTGCAGTGGTGTGCCTGCCGCTATCTGTTCCTGCATGAGCTTCCCTCATTCTTGTACGTGGTGCCAGGACTGCTGGTTCCCTCAGAGGACTGAAACACATCGAGCGTCCTTTCATCTTCATTCTTCTGTGAGCTCTTCCCATGATGGCTGGAACGGGCTGGGCTGAGCCGAGCAGAAGCCAAGACCTTTGGAGCTTCGTCCAGGTCTCCCACGTGGGTCGCAGGGGCCGAAGCACATGGCCCACCCTGCACTGCCTTTCCCAGCCCCGCATTAGGGATGAGATGGGGGTGGCCTGCCAGGACAGGACCTACACCTGCATGGCAGCCACTCGCACCCTGGGCAGACTAGTTTCCTGACTGCTGCAGTGGTAGGCAGGAAGGACTCGCATCTCGGAGAGCGCACTTCCTGTTCCAGTGCTGCCTGAGGTGATCCCCTACAACGCCTGTGCGTTAGAAACCTGATTTTTTTGTTGGGGGGTAGGGGGGGCCGGCTTTCTGATCTTCTGTTTTGATTTTCAAGGACTGGTTTTATTAGGGCCGGCAGGATCGTGCACATGCTAATCCTTCACTTGCAAATGCCATCAGTACCATGTGGCCCTGGTCACGTCCCGGCTGCCCCATCCCGTCTAACCGTCTGCCCGTGTCCAGGCTGCCCCATTATCATCCAGCTGTCTGCCCATGTCCAGTTGCCCCCCTTCCCATCCAGCTGTCTGCCCATGTCCTGGCTGCTCCACTTCCCGTCCAGCTGTCTGCCCATGTCCTGGCTGCTCCACTTCCCGTCCAGCTGTCTGCTCATGTCCCGTCCAGCTGTGTGTGTGGCTTGGGAAAGCGGCAGAGATGGCCCACACCCCAGGCTCTGCACCCACATGGGAGGCTGAGATGAAGCTCCTGGCACCTGAACTTTGGGTCAGCTCAGCTCTGGGGAATGTGAACCAGAGGATGGACGGTCTCTCCCTGCCCTCTCTGAAACTGTCTCACTATCTTTTCAATAAATATGTCAGGAAATAAAATTATTTATAGACATACAGAGAGGAAGAGAGAGGAAGCTCTTCCATCCAATGATTCACTCCCCAAGTGACCACAGTTGCCACAGCTGAGCCAATCTGAAGGCAGGAGCCAGGAGCTTCTCTCTGGTCTCCCAGCTGGGTGCAGGGGCCCGGGAATGGGCCATTCCCCACCACTGGATGAAAATTGGAGAAGCCAGGACACGAGTGGGGGCCCATGTGGGAGCAGGTGGCAGCAGGGTGAGGGTTCAGCTGTGGAGCCATCATACCAGGCACAGAGATTTTTTTTTCTCATTAGTAAATTGCCCTCTGCTTAACCAAATTTTATTCATAACATTTTGTTAAAATGAGGAAGTGAATGGTGAGGGTCTGTGCTGCTCCCCCATGCTGGGAATGTACCCTGAGGGCTGGCTCAGGACACGTGGAGAGAGCAGGGCAGCTTGTCAGTGTGCAGAAGGAGGAACAGCACGTAACTACATCACTGGGCCTGTGGTGTGTGTGTGCAGGTGTGTGGGCACGGCCATGTGTGCTGGTGGTGTGTGTGTGCAGGTGTGTGTGCATGGCCGTGTGTGCTGGTGGTCTGCGGGCACGGCCGTGTGTGTTGAGGTGGGTTTTGTTGTACTTGTATGTGCTGACCTGCTGTTTGCCCACTGTCCACCTGCAGGCCTCCTGTGGCGAGGGCCCTGCCGTCACTGTGTTTGAATGACCCCTCTGACTGCTGTCATCCGGGTCGCACTGTCACCATCCCGCAGGCGCTGACTGCATGTCGTGTGTCTGTGACGTCTCCTCCCTGGCTGTGGGTGCAGTGTTTATGAAGGAGCGGTTTAGTGATTTTGTGATGTGTTTCTCCCAAGCCCCTTTTTCCTCAAGTTTTCATTGGTACCTGTGGGCCTGTCAGGTGGAGGGTCTGACCGTGAGCATGCTGGGGCGTCGGCTGGTTCCCTCTCGGTGGCCGAGGAGCAGTGCCGCGTGTGCTCGGGAGTCGTGCGTGTCAGCGTGGGGTCGGGGCCAAGGGCTCAGGCTGGTGCGCCCTGGGCCTGCCCGTCCCGGTGTGTCTGTTCCCTGGGGGTCACGCCTGGTCTCTGCCTGGTGAGGGAGGCTCCGGGAGGCGATCCGCCAGCAGAGCCTGCAGGTCCCTCCCTTCCCGCGAGCGGTGCTTTATGGTAAACACGCATCCTGCCTGCACGCCGAGCGGAAACCACGTGACAGCACCGTGCTCCTTCCAGCCTTCACTTCCTGAGAGAGCCTGCGTCTTCACTTGTCCTACTGCCCTGCCCTTGTGTCGTTGGGCATTTTGTTTTTCTCCCACTTAGGAATGATGTTCCCTATGCAGATGTTTCTTGTGGTCAGTGGGACACAGATGTTGCTCTGTCATGAAGGCACCTGACTTCCCTGGCTGTGTCTCTCCTGAGACAGCTGGGCCGTGTGGCCTAGAGGGGCAGCTCTGTTGATTGCCTCCTTCCGGCAGGCCGTGGACCCCGTGGGGTCCAGAGAGCCGCTGTATGCTGCCAGGTGCATGGAGTCCAGAAGACGGAGCGCTGCCAGAGGCCTTCTGCCCTGTGTCCTGGCTGTGGCTCAGTGTGACCTGGTGCATGGCCCTGCACGGGGTCCCAAGGCCTTCTGCCCTGTGTCCTGGCTGTGGCTCAGTGTGACCTGGTGCATGGCCCTGCACGGGGTCCTGAGGCCTTCTGCCCTGTGTCCTGGCTGTGGCTCAGTGTGTGTGGTGGTGTGTGTGCTGGTCCCGAGGCCTTCTCCCTGTGTCCTGGCTGTGCCTCAGTGTGACCTAGTGCATGGCCCTGCACGGTGTCCTGAGGCCTTCTGCCCTGTGTCCTGGCTGTGGCTCAGTGTGTGTGGTGGTGTGTGTGCTGGTCCCGAGGCCTTCTCCCTGTGTCCCCATTGGACACATTGCATCTGATTCACCACGAGAAGCACATTTTTAAACTCATTTGGACCAGTTTTTGGCCATGTTTCCTTCTGTGCCACATTAGTAGTGCACTTCAGTGAAGACAATTTTTTTTTAATTGGGTGGTATTGAGAAATGATTTTTTAGAACCCATGTTTTCATTGCAGCTTCATGAAGAAAATTTTGAAATCACCACCCTGCGTATTGATGTAGCCACTGATGGGAGACACGCCGAGGTGGAGTTCACCACTGACTGGCAGAAGGATGCTGAGCGCCGCGACCTCACCATCAACTCCATGTTCCTGGGTGAGGGTCCCCCCAGCTCGGGCCCTGTGCGAGGGAGCGGCCCCCGTGGCGTGAGGGACGGTGTGCTGGCCACAGGTCTGGAGCCAGGGTGCGTGCTGTCCCCGCCGCGGCCGTGGGGCTGGAGGGAAGGCAGGCTGTAGCTGCACCTGGTGTAGGCGTGCGGTGGTTCTGAAGTTACACACGCAGGGCAGGGTGAGCACACACTCCCAGCCCCGCCCGGGGCCGTTCTCGCTGCTCCCCGTGTACACATGTGTGCCCCATGGGCGTGTACACGTGTGTGCCCCATGGGCGTACACACACGACCACACACACACAGATGTCCCCTGCTCTTGGCGGAGGAAGTCGGCATCCTATGTGCCTGTGTTCTTACCACTGCCCTTTGGGAGCTGTCGGTCACCGTGCTGCCCTGGCCAGGGGCTGGGAGCCACCTGTGGGTGGGGGAAGCTGGTGGTGCTGCCTGCGTTTGACTTCCTGCTTTGTGTGTGAAATGGCAAGCAGGCTTTTGATATTCTGCCGGACTAGGAAAGCAGGGGAGGGTCATGCTGTGAGCCCCAGAGCAGCGGATCCTGCTGTGCGGCTGGTCCCGTGGGCCTCCTGCTGGTGGCACGTTACAGCTGTGGCATGTGCTGCCTGCCGGGTCCCGGGCACGGACTCCTTCGAGGCTCAGTAAATCGGTCAGCACGTGTCCCAGCCGGCTGCTCCTAGAACTGCCTGGAGAGGCTGGCAAGGCTCTCCCGGGCGCTGTGCTGCTGGGACTCAGATCTCGTCCTGTGGCGAGCACTGCGCCCGGCTGCGCCCTTCACCCTGAGTCGGGAAGCCAGTGTGCTTTCAGCCCGATGGAGCTGGGCACGCGCTGCTTTTGTTGCTCCCCTTGTGCGGGCCGAGTGGGGCTGCGCCTGCCCAGTGCCTGCCTGGGGCGGGGGAGCCGAGGGCGGTGTGGTCCTGCTGAGTGCCCACGATGGCTGCCCGCCCTTCCGAGGCCACGGGTCATGTGCCTGTGGGAGGTGTTGGTCATCTTGTTCCCTGTGGGCGACCACGGCAGGGCGACCACGCCTGGGAGTGCCTCCTGGAAAGGTGCGTTCTCTGGGAGCGTTTTGTGTTTCCATGGTGTTTACTGTAAAGTACGGGAATGGCCACGGATCTGCATGTCTCCACATTTGTGTCATTTGTGGTTTCAGATTTTTTTTTTGCTTGTTTTGTCTGAAGTTAACCAGTTTTCCTCTTGCGCTCACTCTAGTTCACTCAAGTCGTAGGTGCCGTTTTTGGAGCAGCCTTTTCACTCTGTTCACCTCGGTTACTATGACATAGAACAGTGGCTTAATTTTTTGCATACTTACTTTTTGCCGTTTTCTCTCAGATCTGAGCTGACCTCACGTCCGCAGGCCCCATCATGACGTCACTGTATTTCTTTCCTGAGCTGACCTCACACAGATGACGCCCCGTGATGACGTCACTGTATTTCTTAGCTGACCTCACACAGATGGCGCCCTGTGATGACCTCACTGTATTTCTTAGCTGACCTCACACAGATGACGCCCCGTGATGACGTTCTTTCTTTTCTACTGACTAGGTTTTGACGGCACCTTGTTTGATTACTTTAATGGTTATGAAGATTTAAAAAATAAGAAAGTTAGATTTGTCGGGCAGGCCAAACAGAGGATACAAGAAGACTACCTTCGGATTCTAAGGTATTTCAGGTAAGAGGTTTAAACCTTGTTTAAATATCAGGTGTGGGCAGTGTCACCTGTCGTGTCCCTGGAGCCTCCTGGTGGCCTCGTGTTGCCCAGCAGGGGACGATCCTCAGACATGCTGAGCCCCATGCAGCGCAGCTCAGGTCTGGATCAGGTGCCCCGTGGCACAGGCGACTGCTCAGCACAGGCCGCCTCCTGGCCAGGGCTCAGGTTCAAGGCTCCCTCCCCGCGGAGCGCTCGCAGTGGCCGGGCAGCTCTGGCTGCACAGCAGAGGGATGTTGGCGTGTTTCTAGGAGCAGTGAGCGTGCGGACAGAGCAGTGGGTGCACTGTGGGAACGTGTGTGGATGCTTGTGTATTGATCTGGGAGACTCCAGGCTCACCCCGGACATCCCAGTGGCCAAGGCTGGGGCAGCACAGGTGGGGTCTGGGGGTCAATGCAGCCAGCCTCTGGGGGCTGCACAGGCACTGGTGTCGAACCCCGAGGAACTCCTGCGTAGTGTGTTCGCAGCTCGGTGGTTGGGTGACGCTCAGAATCCAGTGTACAGACGTTCGCTGGGACACCCCGGCGTGGGGCAGTCACTGGCACGCTTCTTTCCCGTAGGTTTTACGGCAGAGTCGTAGAGAAGCCTGGGGACCACGATCCTGGGACTTTGGAAGCCATTGCGGAAAATGCACAAGGCTTGGCTGGAATTTCAGGAGAAAGGATTTGGGTGGAGCTGAAGAAAATTCTTACTGGCAACCACGTCAATCACTTGATGCACCTGAGCTACAGACTTGGCGTGGCCCCTTACATAGGTGAGAGCACGGGACAAAAGGTTTTCACTTTGCACTGGAACTGCGAGTTAAAGGATTGATTCCCAGAGTCGGAGAACTCCTAGTGGTGACATGGAATGCTTGTAAGGCCGTGATCTGACAGGAGGGCTGATGGCTCAGGCGCTGGTGCCTCAGACAGGGCAGGGACTCAGAGAGGCCGCGACTGCTCTGGTGCTGCAGGGGCGTGCATGCAGGCAGGCCGTCCTGCTGGGGGAGTGGACCAGGAGCCGTCAGCAACACATTTCTGCACAAACCTGGCTTCGCTAAACACAGGAAAATGCTTTTGTTCCTCCAGGCTTACCTGCTAATGCCAATCTAGAAGAGTTTGACAAAGTCACTAAAAACGTGGAAGGCCTTGCCCCGAAGCCAATGACTGTTTTGGCCTCATTATTCAAAGGGCAAGATGATGTCACAAAATTGGATTTGAGATTGAAGATTTCAAAAGAAGAGAAAAACCTTGGGTTATTTATAGTCAAGAACAGGAGAGACTTAGTGAGTGCAGCAGACAGTTCAGACCCCCTGAAGCCTTACCAAGACTTCGTCATAGATGTGAGTACGGGGCGGGGACGGGGCGGCTGTCCCGGGGGCGGCTGTCCCGGGGGCGCTGCTCTAAGACTGAGCAGTGTTCCTGCATGTGCCCAGTGCAGGGAGCCGGATGCCAAGGCCCGCGTGTGTGAGCTGCTCAAGTACCAGGGCGAGCCAAGCCTGCTGGAGGAGATGCAGGGCTGGTCCATCCCGCCCTTCCCTGTGAGCGGCCACGACCTCAGGAAAGCAGGCATTGTTTCGGGGAAGGAAATCGGGGCTCTTCTACAGCAGCTGCGGAACCAGTGGAAAAAAAGTGGCTACCAGATGGAAAAGGATGAACTTCTGAGTTACATACAAAAGCCGGGGAGCTGAGAGCAGCTCACTGCGAGGCGCGCCGTGGCTCTGGGCCTCAGCTGGTCCCGCGCTGTCGCCTGCCACCGCACCTGGCTTTCTAACCTTCCAACAAAAAGGCTTGTCCGCCCAGAAGCAGCCACAGGTACTGTGTCTGAACTCCAGCTGGATTCCAAAATAAACGAGTGCTGAAAGCAGTCAGATGTCTGACCCGAGTGCGTAAGACGTACCATAGGTGTCCTGCTCGCAGGAGGTACACCACAACAGGTGTCTCCTGTCACGATGGGATGTCTAGAAATTAGGGTGCTTGTGGGGGCTGTTAACTTTGATCGGTTCCCTTTGCTTTGAAGTTGAATGCTTACGTGTAGTGCCCGCCTGTGCATGCTGGGCCGTGAGATTACTGCAGAGCTGTGCACAGACTTCTCAGCAGTTAGAGGGAGGGTTGGCCTGCACGGTCAGCAGCCGCTGGGCCCAAGCAGAGCCCTTATGCAGGACAGAGCCCCAGCCAGTGAGAATGCAACATACGGGAAATAAACTTGATTTGGGGGTTCACGTTACATATTTTACTTGGATATTTTCAAAATTTACAGTACAAATTAGTATCTCAGACAAGCTAAAGGAAACTGAAAACAAAGTCCTTTTGAAATAATGTCACTTTGCCTCTTTTGAAAAGGAACACATCGTTGTGCCTGGCACCTGCCTGTTAGAGCCGGGCCTCAGAGCAGTGGTGGAAGGACCTCAGCGTGCCCGTCCCCCCAGGAGGTTGGCACCAGCTCCTCACGCAGGTAGCCCTGCCCCCACGGTGTGCGTCTCTCCTCCCATACAGAGGCATCCCTTCCGAAGCAGATCTGAGAACACCAATGCGTCCGTGACTGTCCCTCCCATAAGTTTATAAGCAAAGTATCACTCTGTCTGGGCTCAGGTCGTCCTCAGTGTCTGGGATTGTGGGCAGCAGAGCAGATCGGGTTAAACCCCAAAACTTCTGAGGTGCCATCTCTTTCTTGGTCGCTGTAAATTTCCATCCGATATGGCTTGCGCAGATCTTGCACTGGGCAACAGTCCATGCATATCTGCCAAGTTAAGGAAAGGCGTAAGCTTTGGAGACGTCTCACCACAAGCGGACTGTCTGTTAACCAGGATGAGAGGAATTACCGCTTGTACTCTTTATGAGCCACAAGATTTCTGTTTGACGCAATAAAGAACTGAGCTAGTTTGTGGATCTATTCCTGAAGGAAAAGAGCCGCCTCAACTGATGCGATTTCTAACTTTGTTGTGCATTGCAGGTGGCCACTGACACCCCACTGCTGGGCAGGTGGACAGGCAGGCATGCACCTTGCCTGACCCTCTGTTTCCCTCCCTAGCTCTGTCATTCCTCTCCCTAGCTCTCACCTGGCAGAGCCTGACACCCCACAGCTGGGCAGGTGGACAGGCAGGCATGCATCTGTCCTGACCCTCTGTTTCCCTCCCTAGCTCTGTCATTCCTCTCCCTAGCTCTCAGCCGGCAGTACCTAACAACCTACTGCTGGGCAGGTGGACAGGCAGGCATGCACCTGTGCCTGACCCTCTGTTTCCCTCCCTAGCTCTGTCATTCCTCTCCCTAGCTCTCAGGCACTGCTGGCTGACACCCCCTGCTGGGCAGGTGGACAGGCAGGCATGCATCTGTCCTGACCCTCTGTTTCCCTCCCTAGCTCTCAGCCGACAGTGCCTAACACCCCACTGCTGGGCAGGTGGACAGGCAGGCATGCATCTGTCCTGACCCTCTGTTTCCCTCCCTAGCTCTGTCATTCCTCTCCCTAGCTCTCAGGCACTGCAGGCTGACACCCCACTGCTGGGCAGGTGGACAGGCAGGCATGCACCTTGCCTGACCCTGTGTTTCCCTCCCTAGCTCTGTCATTCCTCTCCCTAGCTCTCAGCCGGCAGTGCCTGACCCCCCACTGCTGGGCAGGTGGACAGGCAGGCATGCACCAGGCCTGACCCTCTGTTTCCCTCCCTAGCTCTGTCATTCCTCTCCCTAGCTCTCAGGCACTGCTGGCTGACACCCCCTGCTGGGCAGGTGGACAGGCAGGCATGCATCTGTCCTGACCCTCTGTTTCCCTCCCTAGCTCTCAGCCGACAGTGCCGGCTGACACCCCACTGCTGGGCAGGTGGACAGGCAGGCATGCATCTGTCCTGACCCTCTGTTTCCCTCCCTAGCTCTGTCATTCCTCTCCCTAGCTCTCAGGCACTGCAGGCTGACACCCCACTGCTGGGCAGGTGGACAGGCAGGCATGCACCTTGCCTGACCCTGTGTTTCCCTCCCTAGCTCTGTCATTCCTCTCCCTAGCTCTCAGCCGGCAGTGCCTAACAACCTACTGCTGGGCAGGTGGACAGGCAGGCATGCACCTGTGCCTGACCCTCTGTTTCCCTCCCTAGCTCTCAGCCGGCAGTACCTGACAACCCACTGCTGGGCAGGTGGACAGGCAGGTATGCACCTGTGCCGGACCCTCTGTTTCCCTCCCTAGCTCTGTGATTCCTCTCCCTAGCTCTCAGGCACTGCCGGCTGACACCCCACTGCTGGGCAGGTGGACAGGCAGGCATGCACCAGGCCTGACCCTACGTTTCCCTCCCTAGCTCTGTCATTCCTCTCCCTAGCTCTCAGGCACTGCCGGCTGACACTCCACTGCTGGGCAGGTGGACAGGCAGGCATGCATCTTGCCTGACCCTTGTTTCCCTCCCTAGCTCTGTCATTCCTCTCCCTAGCTCTCAGCCGGCAGTGCCTGACACCCCACTGCTGGGCAGGTGGACAGGCAGGCATGCACCAGGCCTGACCCTCTGTTTCCCTCCCTAGCTCTGTCATTCCTCTCCCTAGCTCTCAGGCACTGCCGGCTGACACTCCACTGCTGGGCAGGTGGACAGGCAGGCATGCACCAGGCCTGACCCTCTGTTTCCCTCCCTAGCTCTGTCATTCCTCTCCCTAGCTCTCAGGCACTGCCGGCTGACACCCCACTGCTGGGCAGGTGGACAGGCAGGCATGCACCTGCCTGACCCTCTGTTTCCCTCCCTAGCTCTGTCATTCCTCTCCCTAGCTCTCAGCCGGCAGTGCCTAACACCCCACTGCTGGGCAGGTGGACAGGCAGGCATGCACCTGTCCTGACCCTCTGTTTCCCTCCCTAGCTCTGTCATTCCTCTCCCTAGCTCTCAGCCGGCAGTGCCTAACAACCTACTGCTGGGCAGGTGGACAGGCAGGCATGCACCTGTCCTGACCCTCTGTTTCCCTCCCTAGCTTCTCAGCCGGCAGTGCCTGACACCCCACTGCTGGGCAGGTGGACAGGCAGGTATGCACCTGTGCCTGACCCTCTGTTTCCCTCCCTAGCTCTGTCATTCCTCTCCCTAGCTCTCAGACACTGCCGGCTGACACCCCACTGCTGGGCAGGTGGACAGGCAGGCATGCACCTTGCCTGACCCTCTGTTTCCCTCCCTAGCTCTGTCATTCCTCTCCCTAGCTCTCAGCCGGCAGTGCCTGACACCCCACTGCTGGGCAGGTGGACAGGCAGGCATGCACCTTGCCTGACCCTCTGTTTTCCTCCCTAGCTCTCAGCCGGCAGTGCCTAACACCCCACTGCTGGGCAGGTGGACAGGCAGGTATGCATCTGTGCCTGACCCTCTGTTTCCCTCCCTAGCTCTGTCATTCCTCTCCCTAGCTCTCCAGCCGGCAGTGCCTGACACCCCACTGCTGGGCAGGTGGACAGGCAGGCATGCATCTGTCCTGACCCTCTGTTTCCCTCCCTAGCTCTGTCATTCCTCTCCCTAGCTCTCAGCCGGCAGTGCCTAACAACCTACTGCTGGGCAGGTGGACAGGCAGGCATGCACCTGTGCCTGACCCTCTGTTTCCCTCCCTAGCTCTGTCATTCCTCTCCCTAGCTCTCAGGCCTGCTGGCTGACACCCCACTGCTGGGCAGGTGGACAGGCAGGCATGCACCTGTGCCTGACCCTCTGTTTCCCTCCCTAGCTCTCAGCCGACAGTGCCTAACACCCCACTGCTGGGCAGGTGGACAGGCAGGCATGCACCTGTGCCTGACCCTCTGTTTCCCTCCCTAGCTCTGTCATTCCTCTCCCTAGCTCTCAGCCGGCAGTACCTAACAACCTATTGCTGGGCAGGTGGACAGGCAGGCATGCATCTGTCCTGACCCTCTGTTTCCCTCCCTAGCTCTCAGCCGGCAGTGCCTGACACCCCACTGCTGGGCAGGTGGACAGGCAGGCATGCACCTGTGCCTGACCCTCTGTTTCCCTCCCAGGCTCTGTCATTCCTCTCCCTAGCTCTCAGCCGGCAGTGCGTAACACCCCACTGCTGGGCAGGTGGACAGGCAGGCATGCATCTGTCCTGACCCTCGGTTTCCCTCCCTAGCTCTCAGCTGGCAGTGCCTGACACCCCACTGCTGGGCAGGTGGACAGGCAGGCATACACCTTGCCTGACCCTCTGTTTCCCTCCCTAGCTCTGTCATTCCTCTCCCTAGCTCTCAGGCACTGCTGGCTGACACCCCCTGCTGGGCAGGTAGACAGGCAGGCATGCATCTGTCCTGACCCTCTGTTTCCCTCCCTAGCTCTCAGCCGACAGTGCCTAACACTCCACTGCTGGGCAGGTGGACAGGCAGGCATGCATCTGTCCTGACCCTACGTTTCCCTCCCTAGCTCTGTCATTCCTCTCCCTAGCTCTCAGGCACTGCCGGCTGACACCCCACTGCTGGGCAGGTGGACAGGCAGGCATGCACCTTGCCTGACCCTCTGTTTCCCTCCCTAGCTCTGTCATTCCTCTCCCTAGCTCTCAGCCGGCAGTGCCTGACACCCCACTGCTGGGCAGGTGGACAGGCAGGCATGCACCTTGCCTGACCCTCTGTTTCCCTCCCTAGCTCTGTCATTCCTCTCCCTAGCTCTCAGCCGGCAGTGCCTAACAACCTACTGCTGGGCAGGTGGACAGGCAGGCATGCACCTGTGCCTGACCCTCTGTTTCCCTCCCTAGCTCTGTCATTCCTCTCCCTAGCTCTCAGCCGGCAGTGCCTAACACCCCACTGCTGGGCAGGTGGACAGGCAGGCATGCACCTGTGCCTGACCCTCTGTTTCCCTCCCTAGCTCTGTCATTCCTCTCCCTAGCTCTCAGGCACTGCCGGCTGACACCCCACTGCTGGGCAGGTGGACAGGCAGGCATGCACCTGGCCTGACCCTCTGTTTCCCTCCCTAGCTCTGTCATTCCTCTCCCTAGCTCTCAGGCACTGCGTGCCTGACACCCCACTGCTGGGCAGGTGGACAGGCAGGCATGCATCTGTCCTGACCCTCTGTTTCCCTCCCTAGCTCTGTCATTCCTCTCCCTAGCTCTCAGCCGGCAGTGCCTAACAACCTACTGCTGGGCAGGTGGACAGGCACGCATGCATCTGTCCTGACCCTCTGTTTCCCTCTCTAGCTC